CCCCCCCCACCCCCCCTTACCAAACCTTAAATTCCCCATGACCGTTTTCCACCGTTCCCGCCCGGGTTCAAAATTAAAAAACCCAACCCCCCCTTCTTCTTCCAAAACCACATCCTCACAATTCCGTTTCGGTTCCCCAAACGGACCCTCCGGATTTTTAAAGGTGGAAACTTTCACATTCTTAGCGGGGCCTTTCCCCAGCTGGGCGAAAAAGGCGGGGTTTGGTTCATAGAGATAGGGCGTTATTAGGGGGATGAAAAGGAGGTAGTATTGGGGGGGGGGTTGGGAGGAATAAACTTTATTTCAGAAAATCGTTCCAGTGAAAAGTTTAGGTTAGGTTTGAAAAGGATAAACCACGCCCGGGTTAGACAGGTCCAATGGCCCGCCCTCCCATTTTTGGGGGGGGCCCGGGGGGGGGGGGGGGGTATTGCGAAGACAATGGGAAGTTGGGAATGAATGGGAGGGTTGGTTGGGACCTTTTTTGTGGGAATTGTTGGGGCTGCGCGGGATGTTTATGGTGGCGTGGGTGGGTTAGCGTGAGGAGCGAATGGTCGTTGCTTGGACGATGAAAGGACCGACTGGATGGGTTGGGGGCATACAATACACTCACCGCATCTGCTCATCGCGACGGATTCGTTGTTGTCTGCGGTGGTGGTAGGGCAGGATAGGCTGGGGTGGGTCTGCTACAGGGCTGGGGTGACAAGGGTGTAGCCGGGGTTTAGCTGACTGTTGAGCTGATGTTATAGATTTTGAGTAATAAGAAGCTATGCGGTAGATGGCATGTGAAGATATGATTTGAGCAAGTTGCGGTCTTGTTTTGAAGCGTGGTAATAGTGTGGGTTGTCGTTGTTGTATAAGATTTGGACGCTGAGGTCAAGGGATCCGCTCTATCATGCCGTACCGTACGGTACCGGTAATGCCCCCGCCCAAGTACACCTACTTTTGCTAACATCCTACCAGAACACCACATGGACATTTCCGTTTGACGATTGCAACATCCCCAATGAATCGTTAGAAGCCTACGCAGATTGTTAAGCTAGCAACTGTACATTTCCCACCGCGCTTGAAACGTCAGGATCCAATTAGATGGTGGCTTGCATTTCAATCATCACGTCACAAGAGTACGCTAGAATGCGCCGGGAAGCTATTTTGACCCGGGGAATCAACTTACCCGACCATGTCACGTGCTACTTCGGCTTTGATTGACAAGATCAAAGGCCCAATCTCTGTACCGGTAACCCGCAGACTCCACAAGGGAACAAAAAGTATGCCAGTTCCACTGATACTTGCAGCGGACAAGTGAGAGGGCAATATCTCGGCGACCGCACTCGCAAAGAATGAAGAAAGTGATTGAATACAAATCTCAACCATAGTATTTGTGCGCCATCAGTCCATTTGTATATCCTCATCTTCTCTGCCTTCAGCACTCAGCATCATACCATATCTTCTGCTTTCAACTTCCGTCTGGTGTCCAGTGTAATCTGGTGAGATCTGATTGATCTCCAAAGGCGGCATGAACGCCGTCACTCCCATATCAAGCGCCATGACAAGTGGATATCCCTGCGCAAAAAACCACTTGCCCGGGTAGTGAAGAGCACACTGTTCCAGAGATTCCATCGTCGTTCACACGTACAGCCCGGTGGTCTAGGTTGATGTCAGTGTTTTGTCTGCAATGTCAAGTTCGAACGCGAATGACAATGACGAAAGCTGTTATTTGGCAACTGCAACACTGTAGAGCCCTGCATTTGTCCAATTTTGCTGCGAGCGCGTCCGTTGGTGCGCTGCCTCGAACCATATTTTGATGGCATTCTGGACATGACCTTTCAATGTGACCACTGGGATTTGCCGAAATAGCAACAATGCCTTCCCTTTTATGGTATTGATCATCTGTGCATTGCAAAATGTCTGGGGCTCAGTACACGGGTTTAGCCCAGCAGTCGTACAGCGCCATGGGTGTGTAAGGCTCAATCATCGAGCAGATTGAAAGATGATGTCAAGCTGTTCAAGCTCTGGAAGATACAAGAGGCTACTCAAGACCGGGGTCAAGTTCAGATCGTCGATGTCTGGGAGTTCAGCTCGGAAAAAACGATGGTAGTCTCGATGCGTGAAGTTTATAGCAACATGGCTCTAGTACCGGTAATGGGTGGCTAACATAGGCAACACTGAGCGCAAATCATCACGACTTCCGAAACACGAGCCTGCACTTACCCGAAATCCTCTGTAGAGATTCGAGATCTCGCCCCGTATCGTTCTGCACAGACGATCTAGACGTGCTATCAACGAGGCTTCATTTGCTGGGTTGTGGGTACCTTGGAGCCATGGTCGCGGCGCTCGTGGTTTGTGGCATTTTGCAACAATGTTTAGTTGGGAAATAGTCCGATGGCATCCTACAAGGCCATGGTATGCGCAGGGAGACCAGTGCTCTCCCTCCCATATAAGGTACGTCCTCGAGGAATACATGTCCATTCGCCGTGGGATTGACGCGGTGTCCCGGGTAAATAGCGTACAGGCGTACCGGTAGTCCAGGAGCGGTTGCCGACATGCGCGGGCACAGTGGATTCAAGGTACTAAACATATACACCTACAAATGCACTGTCAACGTACATTGTGTACATGAATCACTTACTGGGCTGCGAGCAGGGCAATGGAACTCTTAATTGTATTCATCCATGAAAAACAAAAAGAATGTAAACTTTGGTGTCTCTTCCAGCGTATCTCATTATGGACAACGACTGATATCCTCTCAACATCAAAGGGCGCGATGTGGAATGGTCTGGCTATGAGTGCGATCGATAAGTGATGGTTGCATCAAGATGTAGGAAGCTCTTGAACCCACAAACAATTTCTTATAAGCTAGCAGGTGGTGGCTCTAGCCTGAAGATACCTTGGATAGCGGTGCGCGCTTTCCTTGAGTGTGACAGGCAATACGCCTATGACAGCTGTTCATGTCGTGCTTACTGTATACTTTAAAACCACAAGATCATAGCATACATGGTCAGAAAGTTGCAATTGTGATATGCGTGCCTATAATGACTCCCTAACATGGAATCCACCCCACAGTTTGGGTGTGGAGAGTTGGAAAAGACCATTGTACTCGGCAGAAATGTAGATATTGTTTTTAACGAAACATCCCGAGTACCATTTCAAAAAACCCACCATCAAACACAGTCAGCTTTGCATCATAACTACTTTACCCTCGCGCATGCCCCCATTATAACCGCAACGCCACGCCAAAATGAACCCATGTGCTTTCACATCACCATGAAGCGTACAAGTACCTGGTGTAAGCACTTGAGAATCGGGGCTGGCTGAGGCTGATATCCACCCCGCTAGCCGTCCCGACCCGTGAAACAGCTCCAAGGTTGTCAGCGTGTCTGTATGCATGTTCACTGGCAGTACCGGTACCTACCTACGGTACCCATGCCCCATCACCTCCCACAACGCAACACAATACCCAAACACGCTGCCCGACACAGTACATACCGCTTGCCCTCTAACACCAATCTCAGTAGGCCAGCCTACTACTATCCCAGGATCCCACCTTGTCCCAAAATGCCGCGGACCTTAGTGACTGCGGCTGAGAGAGAGAGGAGTAAAAGTGCACGGGGAGTCGTTGGGTTGGATTGAGCATTGTCCATTTTAGGGCTAGCGTGAGCTACACTACCACCCAACCCAACTCAACGCCTTCGCAAAACGGCATACTCTTCGTTCCCCAACGTGCCAGTCCAAGGCCGAAACGGGTATCCAGCGCGTCGGCCCACGCTTTATTACCTATTTCAAAAACAGTACATGACGAAGGAAACTTGCATGCAAAGTCTGTTCGTTTCAGGCTAGGTCTCACTCGTCATGTAGCATCCATCGTTGGGCGGGCTGTCTTGCTCGAAGGGGAAGGTTTGGGGGTGTGGGTGTGGATGGCTGGGGAGAGGCATTGTCTGTTTTAGGGATGGGGTGCAGGATGGAGGGGATAGGCGAAGGGGGAGGGGGGCCGGAGGGTGTGGATATGGGAGTGGGTCAGGAAGGGGGGTGGTTTGAGGGGCATGTATAAGAAGGTACTTGGGTTACAGAGTCAATCTTGAGTTTTTGTCATGGCATCGGCGCAGTGGTTGTTCTTGGAGACGAAGTTTGATACAGGAGTTTCGAATACGGTATTTGGTCGTAGAAGTACATTTTACTCAAAGTCCCTCCAATAAAAAAGGCAGAGGTGATTACACGCATCGCCGTACTAAAAAAAGGTGTTCCTTACACACGACGCCTCAGCGACCTGGTATCGAAAATATCAACTTCGCGCTCATATGCCGGCAGACTTTTGCGTCTTCTACTAGACGCTAGGCTACTTCGTCTACTGCTCCGTGATGTACAGTGCCCGAGCCCGCTGTCGCGTCGGCTGTCGGCCGGCTGCTCAATGACTTCTACAATGTCTTCTTCGTGCTTCAAATCGCGAATCGAATGATCAGACCAGAGATGCTTCACCAGGGCCTTTACATCACCGCAAATCGTGTGGTTCGATCCGCTTTCCGCGCAGAGGACACAGGCATACTGTCCATCTGGACCATCCCTGTGGCATTTGACCACGAAGCGGTTGGAAACGTGGAAACACCGATCGAAACCATCATCTTCCTTTATAATCTCCCACGCTTTTCCGGCTGACAGATGAAGCGATCCCTTGCAGTGTGGGCAGCTTGGTACTGAGTCAGAGGTTATGCTGGAGGCAAGGGTTTGATCTCTGTGCCGCTGCAAGTCGCTGGCATATAGGCAAAACAGGCCATTAGGTGTCGAGCTCAATCCCATGGATGTGGGACCGGTCATCGACGTCGTGTCTGTATCAGTCCTCTCGGATTTCGGTCTACCTCTCCAGGTGAGCGTAGTTGTATTGACTGGACTACCGCTTCGTGGTGGCGCCGGCGGGTTGTACTTCATCAGGGCTGTCGAGGTGGACCTCTCACCGCTAGCAGCAGATGGCTGAGATGGTTCATGCGTAAAGGATGGACGGGCGGTTTGTGCGTGTATCGAACGAGGAGCGGATGGCAGCAGTCCTTCCTGCCGATGCTGCAAGTCTTTCAGGATATCAACCGTCGCCATCCCTGCCGTCCTCGATGCTGCGTTGACATTTGCTAGCTGACTGGAGATTGAGTCGGTTGATGTGGGTCCATACAAGAACGTAGCAATGAGTCTTTGATTGGCGAATGCAGGGTCAGCAATTGGAGTAGATGATGCTTATGAGGGCAAGTAGACTGACACGCTTTGAAGTTTGATGATTTCGGCCTGGAGGGCTGTATGCGCAATTACTGAAAACTCATTAGCTTGCTGCGAAGAATAGAGATCATTTACTGGGGGCGAGTTGCCAGGATTTGGTGGTTGTGGGTCTGCTAGTCTTCAGGTGGAGGCTGTAAGGAGCCAACGCTGAGCATGGTGGGAACAGATGTGCATACCGTCGCCTATGGCAAACTCTGCACCAAGTGTCGAATAGCCAATCTCGAATTGACGTTTGACTGCCGCTTTATCCATGGTGATGCCTTTTTCACTTCCCAATGCCTCATCATGGACATACTCTATCCGTCTTGAGCTAGGATAGCCTTTGGACCGCAGCGTCTCTTCGTAATCTCGTTGCTCCTTGATCGTCAGGGTCTGGTACAAGTCTTTTGTGGCGTCAAAGACATCGAAGAACTTGTATACAAGCGCTTGCACAAGGCTCACTTGGTCATGATTCTACCACTTCATGAATACGTTATCCTATATAGCTAGATGGAAGACTCACAGGAGCGCGCATGTCGAACTTGAATCAACTTTAGTCAATCTCTTTACCGGTACTTGGAACCCGAATTCGTAATCGTAAAGTGAGGGCATTCACGATTGCTTAAGTCACAAAGATCCCGATACAGGCATCTGGGCAGCAAACGAAGCCCCACGTCCGCTTGGGTAGTCATCGTAAGCCCCAAATTGGCAAGCCTCTTTGGAGCGCTACGGTCCGAGAAGGTCGCATGCTTGATGATGATTTCGAACAGCTGGCAAGACACAAGTGGTGCCTGGACACGACTTGGCTCCTTTGATTGGAGTAACAACGGCTACGGCCCGCGCCATGAGCCAGCATGCATCACGGATGACGTCATCCTCAGATATGGCGCACTCTAGAGAAACGCATATCGAGCAGACGAGGGCGGCGAGGGCTTGCAATGGGCGTCGTGCTTTGCTCCTTTGGGGCTCGACAGGCATAGGCCAGACCCTCATCCGGCTCCGGTCACCCTTGTATCGACCCTGACGGTCCCAAGAGCGGGGCGATCGTGTGCCTGGAGCCCTGGGCGAGGGTTGTATACACAGTAGAATGAGTGATGACCCCCACTTGTCAAGGGGAGATATCCATGCCGGTGAAAGATGACTGTGCTGGCGAAAAGAGACTTATCGCATTTCTGACGCGGAGAACAAGAAGACGGTGAGGGAAGTGCGTCATCGGGCCGCGACTCTCATGGGCGACGATAAATCTCCATGCTGGGATGTCTTCAATCCCAAGGCATTGCCACCGTTTCGAATAGGTAGACCAAGTTGATTGCATCTGCTGGCTCAACTGCCCGGAGTACCTAAGGTATTACGGGTAC